TGCCAGCCCAGCACGGGCAGGGGCTGCACGGCCCCGCGGGGCAAAGTTGAAGACAACAACTTCCCGGCAGCGCAACTGGAAGGAGCTCCGGGTAACAGTTACCCTGGGGCTGAGGAGTTTCCCCAGGAACACGCGGACTAACCTGGGCGTTGTCTGCACCAGCGGTTTTCGCGTTGCCCTGAAGGTGACAAAAGCCGTGACTGCCGAGAAGAGCACCCAGATTACCAGGAACCGCCACCAGTACAGCTTGATCGTGAAATAGAGAGGTACCACCCACATCTGGAAGAGGGTCACCATCTGCCGGAAGGGAGGAAAGAGCACTTGGAGCCGGTTCGCTCCTCATCAGCCGTCAGAAACACCCTGTGCCGGTCCTGGCGGCCGTTCTGCCTGCACCAGAGGGCCCTGGAGAGCCCCAGGGATCTGGGGAGGTTTGGCCTGGGGTACCGGCACCCAGAGAACAGGCTCAGAGCCTGACTGAGGGCGTCAGAGGCAGCAGCCAGGCGATCTTTGGGAGCAGAGGGCCAGAGCCGGAGGGAGAACGCAGAGGGAACATCTCCAGGGGGAGGTACAGGAGATGATCCACCTAACTCATTGTGGTAAGGCGGCTGTAAAAACCCTCGCCTTTCCAGGGTCCCGAACACCGCGCCCGCGGGCACCTCGGGCACGTACAAAGCAAGGAGACGGGCACGGGGGAAGGTTTCCGCCTCGCCCTGCCTCCGGGTTCCCGACACGGATCTACGGCCGTGCAGCCGAGCTCCTGTGGTGCGGGAAGAGGCAAACGGGTGCAGTTTAAAGTTCAGAGAGCATTACAGCTCTTACCTGGAAACCTTAATTACGAGAAGGAAGCCAGAGCGAGGTTGGTTCAGGTAAAACCAACACTCCCGGTGGCATCGGCAAGCGGCAGCAGTGCTGCCGGGCAAGCCCGGCGGTGCCGCAGGGACCGGCAGACCCAGGGTCCCGGCAGCAAGAAGCCCCCATCGCTTCCGAGGAAGCGCCCACAAAACGCAGCTTCCCTTCGCGCTCCCCTCGGGACAGTGCCCGAGGTCTGCTTGTCCCATCGCCCGGCGTCAAAGCGCTGCGTCAAACCCAGTTCCTGGCACCGCTCATAAACAGAACCTTGAGGCCTCCAGGCGCATCCGTCCTCACCCCCAGCGGGAATCCCCGCGCGCTGCTGGGAAGAGGAGGGCACCTCAGCAGCAGGCAAGAGGAGAAAGAGAGGAACGCGCCTCTCATCAGCACTCGCCCCAGGCCTCGGAGAGAGAACGGCTGCGTGGGGGACACTTACGTTGTAGGAGCGAGGGTGCCTCTGTTTCCACTGAACCAACAGGAGCTGTGCCACCACTAGCGTGGCGATGAGGATGAGGACCATCTCGGCGTGCATAGCCTCGTGACCGCGGTGCTTGGCATGCATCCGGGCATGCTCCACCCTGCAACGACAGGCCGTTGGACGCCACGAGCGTGCGCTAACTCTCAAACCAAACCCTCGGCCCCGTTTCGGAGCCACCAGCACCAATCTCCCTCTCGGCCAGCAAGGAAAAGGCTGGATGGGCAGGGGGGGCACGGTCTACTGCGGAAGACCAGTCTCCTGACACCGACCAATATGATCTCCAGAAGCCGTTTATTATAGCTTTACATACAGCTTTTATACTCTTCCAAGTCCCGTACACACGGTCACGTAGACTTTCCTAATTCGTACATGCTACTGTCTATCCAGCAAGCATATAAGCCTCTAACTCACTCATTGGTTATTTCATTATCATCATCTTACCCTACTTGCGGTTACTGCTTCTCTACTCTAGCAACTAAGCATTTCCCCTTTAATAGCGTCCCGTACACTGGCTAAGCATTTCCCCTTTAAGAGCATTCCAACCCTATCAGAACCTGATGTCCTTGTTCTGCTAGGGAT